ATTACTCCCAACAAAAAGCACAGCCAGCATTTATTATTACGAACAAACCTCCCCCTCAACTTCATAATTTTGAAAACCCCATCCACCTCACATCCATTTATACAACCAACATCATTAACTTCAAACAAAACTCAAACCCACCAACAGTTATCCAACTACAACCTCTCCGGTATATAACATGAATCCTGATCACTTAGTTGCTGCGTATGGGTCTCAATTTTTTTTAATTTTCTATTCAATATACCTCTCATGTATTAACTACTTACATGAATCCATGTGTGTTGAAAAATTTGACTTGAGGAAATACATTAACTGTAAGGAGCAAAGCTGTCACAAATTGATCACACAAGCTAGACATTCAAACCACACGTAAAAACTACAAACTTAACATTACATGTTATTCAAATTTAAATTTAAACTCGTTGCAAAAAAGGTTTGTTTTTCTATAACAACAGCATTCCTGCAGTTCATTTCATGAAGAAAAGTAATGGTTATCACAAGCCAGGCAACGGTAGGATCCCATTTCCATTACTCATTGTATTTTATCTGATATTATACATTAAGTAACACTTTTTATTAGCTCTCACGTTTTCTTCTTCTACTTTTGAAATTGCACGTAACGAAAAAGGTCATGTGTCAACACCCTAAGCCGATCACAGAAAGCACAGATGCCGAACATTTAAACCACAGGTAAAACCCACACTAGCTATACAGTTTATTTTTTAATTTGAGAACTAAACTTAAAGCAATGACCGATGAATACATGTTTATGATTGTAGATGTCTAAACTGAACATGGATCATAGAAATGAATAACCCGACCATCGAAATGAAACGGTAAAACACTAACTCAACACTGACCTTATTCTATTTATTACTACTACATCGCTCAAACTATTTTATCTAATACTATGTATTACATATCTATTTTTACTTGCATGAGTGCAAAAAAGGTTCTGTTTCAACAACCGAAGGGTATGACCAAAAGCACAGATGTTGGACATTCAAACCCCACAAAAGGTATACAGTTTATTTTTTAATTTGAGAACTAAACTTAAAGTAATGATTGATGAATACATGTTTATGATTGCAGATGTCTAAACTGTACATGGATCATAGAAATGAATAGCCCGGCCATCGAAAAGAAGCGGCAAAATTGTAATTCAACAATGACCTTATTTTATTTATTACTACTACATCACTCAAACTATCTTATCTAATAATACATATCTATTTTAATCAGCATGAGTGCAAAAACGATTCTGTTTCAACAACCGAATGGTGTGAGAAAAAGCTCAGATGCTGGACATTAAAATCCCAGGTAAAACCCACAACATCTATACCCTTTCTTATTTAATTTGAGAAGTACACTTGAAGTAATAACTGTGCTAAATATATGTCCATGATTGCAGATGACTGAACTGGACGTGGATCATAGAAACGAAGTAATTGAGGGGGAAAAAAGTAAGACTGCAATACGACACTGAACTTTTGATATTCATTACTGCATTCAAGACTTGCTAAATAACAAAAATACTAAATTAAATTTTTCCCTAAAAGACATTAAAAAAATCAACCTGTCTATCAAAACATTTTATCAAATAAAACCAAAATTAACAGCATTTGAGAACAATGCCTACAATGAATAAGGTGAACTGTAAAATGTCAAATTCATTTTTGAAGCACTTTACCTGGGTTGGATCTCTTGGATCCCACCACACATGATTTAGTTATCTTAACCATAACTACAGGCCCGAACGTCGCATCATATACCTAAGAATAACATCGTAATCATTATACATCTTTATCAAACTGAATAATTCAGTGCAAAGAACTACACAAACAACATTTTCAAATGTTTATAATATTTAACATCAATGGGCAAAATACATAGGCGTAGAACCCGACCAAAGGGGACATAAGTAGACATGCACAGTTTAGGTGCCTAAACACATCCTAAATTCCTTTCAAAGTAGATGATCAAGATGTAGTTAACCAACTGAAATCATATTCAACAACATACTCCCCTCCAAAATAATGTTTGTTCACGTATATAGTACGTGTAGACCGCCTTAAGACCACCTCCTCCCCCACCCCAGACGTGGTCACCCCCGAACCCTCCCCAACAGAACCGTAGAACCATGTTAGATCATGAATTCCAAACACCCGTGACAGATCTGCCGGTGAGAGCAGTGTCTGTACGGGTGCCTGTCGGAATAAACCCAACTTACATTTAGCATCACATGTCTCACAATACCATACATCACACCCACACCCTTCAATCGTATACATGAAGTTTGGGTGACCAAGCGATGAACAGACTACACACCTCTTTATCAATCCGTCTGAGTCCACACCTCCACCCAAATCATGGTACAAACATTCCTATCTAAACAAATGTTAAGGTTAGAAAATCCCAAAGCAGTTCAGTAACCAATAATATGACACTGACATCATTTGTTTTGTAATTAAAAAAGGTAATATTTATGTTCATTTTTTAACTCTTATATTAGAACAGATCAGTAAATAAATCCTATCCAAAAGTAAAGATATTTTTCAGAAGATATCAAGAATAAAAATCCGGGGTAGGGTAAAAACACATTCATTAATAAAGTTTTACTGAATAACATACTTGGGTTAGAAATGCCAAGGTTCCATTGCCATGTTATCTAAACAAATGTTATTTTTTGAAAATTTTAAAGTAGTTTAGACTTCCATCACACAATAGTGACATTTTAAGGTTTATATAGATTAAAAACAAAAACCCTTCATGTTAAATTTTGAACTCTTATTTTAGAACATATGAGTAAAGTAAGAATAGTTAACCTTTAATCTCACACACTGCTGCATGATCTACACAATGAACAGTGAGGCTGTAGCCAACCTCGGAAGAAGGCTTCGAACTATGGATGGAGACTGCCAGAAATTTTTTCCCGGGTAAATAACTTTCTGTGTATGCACTATATATTAGGCAGATTACTGGTTTGAGATATTGGGTAGCTTGATTTTCACAATACAATGACAAACCAATTCTTTAGGCAAAACACAGTAAAAACAATCATTTTTCCCACTAACAACAAAGTTAAAAAAAATTGACCGAGAATGAGCCATGGTTTGCTTTTAAAAACATCCTATGGCGTAAGACCACAATTGCTCCACAGATTTTTAAAGATTTGGTCAAGTACGAAGCACAGTTCACACTAATGACCTGTCCAGACCAGTCCACCAACTTTGAGCCCATCAATTGCACTGTGTTTTAAAAAAGTCTGAAATCTATTTCCTAACTTAAAAAGCTAGTTACATGAACGCAAGTAAATGAATGGGTAGATTTGTATTTCCCAACTGACATTATTCGGTCTAGAATTACAAACCGAACATGTATCTCCTCCTCCTGAGTTCTTATTTCGCATCAGAACCGTAAATAAATGATTTTGAACACTGAAAAGATATATTTCAGAACCATGGAGTTTTACTGCATAACATACTTGGGGATATTGAGCATGTTAATTTTAGTATTAATAGAAAACATTGAATCAGTAAACTGCCAAATGCTAAATAATCTACCCATGGACGTGCCCTAAACGATTTCCTAAGTGAAACGAGATGCCCCACAAATCCCAGGGATTCATGGGGTTGTGATGTTTGTCATATTATTTCGTGTTCAAAAGCCACACATTATTTTTGCATAGAACTTGTGTTTTTCAAAAAATAAGCTTGATTTTAAAAACTTTATAAGTGGATTTATTACAACTTCAATACGTGGGTGACTTTACAATTATAATAGGGAAATTATTGGGGAAATTGTAAACTCACCCGCTCAAATTGGGGATTTATTATATTAATACATTAATATAGGGTAGGACAGAAACACTTTAACTAAATAAGTTGTACTGCATAACCTACATGTGGACATTAATTACATTAGTTTTACCATTAATACAAAAATGAATTAGAAGACATGACCATTGGTAAATAATACCACTGGACATGGCTTAAATGATTGCATTATTAGAAAAACTCTTATCCGAATGCCAAGGTGAAACTAATTGCCCCATAGAGACCAGGCATTCAGGGGGTGATATATGGTACAATATTTCATAGGAGTTTTCACAGTTGCATTTTGCATACAATCTTTGTTTGCCAGAAAAATAGGTTGATTTTAAATAAATTCCGTATCGTTATTATTGGTTCAATATTAATACATCTGCAGCTCTTCCTAAGTTGTAATTTATACAATTTCTAACACATTTTTTATGTGTAAATTTGCAGGAACTTGTTAAATTTTAAGAGGGATTGCAAATGCCTAGGATAATTAGTATGTTTTTAATTGTAATTTCAATCCGTAATGTATGTAATGTCGCCAAGATCCGGGCCACACCACATGTATGCTATATATGCCTTCCTTAAGTGTTTACGCCTTTCGTACATTTAAATTCTCTCTATCGTTCCAAAAACTTATGCACTTCCGTAGGACCATCCAATGAAAGTTCGACACTGACCAAGGGTTCTCATATTTTTCTTAACACCTCATAAATGCTTAACATGTGCTTTTTGAAGCCAATCCATAAATCCTTAAATGCTGAGCTACTTCCATTGTATTTATACATTGGAGTTGAGAACCGAGGTAGATATCAAACATTCAGTGTAAACCCAATGTTGTACATGATCCAATAGGTTTTCTAGACCATCATATGACCTTTAGACCACCCACAGGCTAAAGGTCATATGTTAGATAAAAAACCTTTGGACCGCCTGTTACACCTTTAGACCTTTAGACCACCCCTCTAAACCGCAAGGCTAGATAAAAAACAAAGGATAAAAGGCACCGGTTACCCACTGATCTACTAACTGCACGAATAATCCATTAAAATGCTTCTGGAATGATCAAGCTGTAGTAGCTAAACTGTAAGCTCAACATATATAGTACAACAATAGAACTGAACAAAGCATTAAATCCAAAATAGAGCTTACATAAAAACAATATATTATAATGCATCTTCAATAAACAGACAGTAGTAGCTGAACCCTACAGCTACTGATACACGATTTGAAGTACATTCATTCCATGGAATGTATCTTCAAATAAAAAGACATAGGTGGTCAGTGCAGATGTAGACTACATCCCAGGGCCAAAACATCCCAAAAATAAAAAAGTACCCAACACCAAAATAACTCTTGAGTCAAGGTTAGGGTGGATGTTTTGTCCTTTACATATGAAATTGATCCAAAACACTAAGCAGTTAACACCGTCGTAGACAACATTTATAACAATCAGATTTAACCAACGAAACCGCTCGATTTAATATCTTCACTCCTTTTCAATCTTCACTGCCTTGAGCTTCTTCGATGAGGTGTACACTGAAAAATCTTCAAATAGGTCACGCTTCACCCTCTCAGCGTCAACCTCAAGAACCTGCCTCTTCTCCTTTGTCATAAGTGGGCTAGACACTGTAGCCTGTGAAGATCCAGCCTGAAATTTGAATGACCATCCTAACAATCTGAATGGTAATTTGATTAACTTGCAACTTAGGTTACCAAATCCAGTGCTTTTCAGACCATGAATGTTGTGAAGCCAACCTGCTGAACTCGTCCTCCTCCTAATAAAACAGCACACAATAATTAGAGTATTCTAGCTTAAAACTTGCTCATTTAAAACAGTGCAAGTACTTTTGGATCAGTGTTCATCTTAAGAACACTGAATGTCTGGTTTCCCTTGAAATTCCTGCTTTCTCTTTTGAACTGAACCCTAAATAGCGCCTTGATGTCAATCAAGGCGTTTATCTCCGATGGAAAGTAATGCGGACCAAAGTTCCTCTACATCAATATATATTGTTAGTGCATCTTAGAATGAAAGTAGGTAGGATGCAAATAGAATTAAAACAAAACCTAGTTATTTGGTCCTTGAGCGAAGCAGCGGACTTGCCCAATAAACAGGAGACTTCCCTGTCCCAAAGCAAGAAAGACGCATGGTTTGTGCCATCAACAACCCTCACATTTACTTTGTACCTAAACACGTTAGGCATTGCGATGTTAAGTAGGTTCGGAGCAGAAGGTTAACAACCCTCACATTTACTTTACTGTATGCCAAGGTGAAACTAATTGCCCCATAGAGACCAGGCATTCAAGGGGGTGATATATGGTACAATATTTCATAGGAGATTTCACAGTTGCATTTTGCATACAATCTTTGTTTGCCAGAAAAATAGGTTGATTTTAAATAAATTCCGTGTCGTTATTATTGGTTCAATATTAATACATCTGCAGCTCTTCCTATGTTGTAATTTATACAATTTCTAACACATTTTTTATGTGTAAATTTGCAGGGACTTGTTAAATTTTTAGAGGGATTGCAAATGCCTAGGATAATTAGTATATTTTTAATTGTAATTTAATCTGTAATGTATGTAATAATAGATATAGGGTAGATTTAGGTAACTCCAAGCTCCGGGCCACACTACAGGTATGCTATCTACGCCTTTCGTACATTTAAATTCTCTCTATCGTTCCAAACACTTATGCACTTTCGTAGGACCATCCAATGAAATTTCGACACTGACCAAGGGTTCTCATATTTTTCTTAACACCTCATAAATGCTTAACATGTGCTTTTTGTAGCCAATCCATAATTACTTAAATGCTGACCTACTTCCATTGTATTTATACATTGGAGTTGAGAACCGAGGTAGATATCAAATATTCAGTGTAAACCGAATGTTGTACATGATCCAATAGGTTTCTAGACCATCATATGACCTTTAGACCACCCACAGGCTAAAGGTCATATGTTAGATAAAAAACCTTTGGACCACCTGTTACACCTTTAGACCTTTAGACCACCCCTCTGAACCGCAGGGCTAGCTAAAAAACAAAGGATAAAAGGCACCTGTTACCCACTGATCTACTAACTGCACGAATAATCCATTAAAATGCTTCTTGAATGATCAAGCTGTAGTAGTTGAACCGTAAGCTCAACATATATAGTACAACAACAGAATTGAACAAAAAATTAAATCCAAAATAGAGCTTACATAAAAACAATATATTATAATGCATCTTCAATAAACAGACAGCAGTAGCTGAACCCTACAGCTACTGATACACGCTTTGAAGTACATTCATTCCATGGAATGTATCTTCAAATAAAAAGACAGGTGGTCGGTGCAGATGTAGACTACATCCCAGGGCCAAAACATCCCAAAAATAAAAAAGTACCCAACACCAAAATAACTCTTGAGTCAAGGCTAGGGTGGATGTTTTGTCCTTTACATATGAAATTGATCCAAAACACTAAGCAGTTAACACCGTCGTTGACAACATTTATAACAATCAGACTTAAACAACGAAACCGCTCGATTTAATATCTTCACTCCTTTTCAATCTTTACTTCCTTGAGCTTCTTCGATGAGGTTGACGCTAAAAAATCTTCAAATAGGTCACGCTTCACCCTCTCAGCGTCGACCTCTAAAACCTGCCTCTTCTCCTTTGTCATAAGTGGGCTAGACATTGTAGCCCGTGAAGATCCAGCCTGAAACTCGAATGACCATCTTAACAATCTGAATGGTAATTTGATTAACTTGCAACTTAGGTTACCAAATCCAGTACCGTTTCAGACCATGAATGCTGTGAAGCCAACCTGCTGAACTCGTCCTGCTCCTAATAAAATAGCACACAATAATTAGAGTATTCTAGCCCAAAACTTGCTCATTTAAAACACGGCAAGTACTTTTAGATCAGTGTTCATCTTAAGAACACTGAAAGTCTGTTTTCCCTTGAAATTTATGCTTTCTATTTTGAACTGAACCCTAAATAGCGCCTTGATGTCAATCAAGGCGTTTATCTCCGATGGAAAGTAATGCGGACCAAAGTTCCTCTACATCAATATCAAGTGTTAGTGCAGCTTAGAATGAAAGTACGTAGGATGGAAATAGAATTAAAACAAACCCTAGTTATTTGGTCCTTGAGCAAAGCAGCGGACTTGCCCAACAAACAGGAGACGACTTCCCTATCCCAAAGCAAGAAAGACGCATGGTTTGTGCCATCAACAACCCTCACATTTACTTTGTACCTAAACACGTTAGGCACTGCGATGTTAAGTAGGTTCGGAGCAGAAGGTTAAGAGCACCTGTAATATACAAAATATAGACCTGAGAACCGCATCATTAGTACTGCAAGATGCACACCAGAAGCTATCACCGTTTGTTGTAACCTTCCTGTTACAACCGGTGCAAGACACGTAAGACCAATCCTTATAGCTGTCGATGGCGACGATTTCCCCGTAAACCCAGCGCTTCCCATCCTGTTTGTCAAAGAAACAAATCGGAACGCTAGGTTTTATAGGTCATCAATCCTTAGAGTCGTTGATTCAATTTCATATTCAAATCCAAATCAAACCTCTTGTAGTTTGCTAAGATCATCAATCGTCAACAACTCGTGTTGGCCACTTGCAACGTCTCCATCGTTGGAGTTGTTTGATTGTATAGTGAAACTCAATCCTTGAACTATCCTCTCATTCATCCTGTTCAAGTATTTTTTCAGTTATGATAAACTGCTGATATATTTTACTCTTATAGATCGAAAAGTAAATGATGTTGGACTTCTCACCTAGACCTGAAATCCATGAATTCATCCACCGTACCATTCAAAATGACCTTGGTGGTGTTGAACATGTTAGAGACATGGACGTGGCCTTGCAAAAATTTTATATGTTAATTAATTGAAGAACAACAAAGGATCATAGGGCTGCGTGGACTTGGAAAAAACCTTGGTACTTCCTGGCCCGGCAACATTGGAGCAGCATAACGATTGGATCCGATGTTGTTAGCTTGTACGTCAACAGCATCTCTACCATCGGTCCCCAAAGGGTGCATGCAATGACATTTGCCCTAATAATGCATTCAGTTCAAATTCATATATCAAGATGTTAACTTACTCCGTATCACCCAAAATTAGTTCCATCAGCTTTCTCGGCCTTTCATTTTTTAGAATCATCCTAGAGTCCTTGTCATGTATCACTTGGCCTAGTATATCTTTTAGACAAACATGAAATTAGACGGCAATCTACACAAAATGTGTTCTAAGATCAAAATAAAAATAGTATGCGCACCGATTCCGTATTTCTCATCGATGGTGTCCATAGCTTGCAGCGATGCAAACGACACAAGCGAGAAAGTCGTCAACGGAAAGGGAACATCCTTAATCTCAAAGGCCGCGCTCTTGCCAAAGAAACGTAAACGATAAGCACTGGTCGTAATTTTAAAAAACATGTAGTTTTCCTCGACCATAAAATTCTTAACCGCAAAACACGGCCTTCCTTAAACACACCGTTGAACCTGTTAATGTACTGGTCAGGAATTTGTGCATGGATTTTGGAACCCTGCAATTTTAAATTATGAGTGGAAAGAGCAAATTCCAGTCAGGTACGTAGTGAACACATGGTCCAGAACCCAGAAAATGCATATTTAGAACCTTATCATTGTTTTAATCTACATGAGCATTCAAAACTGTGTTTTGTCTTACATTTTCTCCCAAACACTTCCATAACAATTAATCCCAACATTGTAGCTTTAAACTGGAAGAGCAATAGGAATATTGCTTCTAAAACAACAGAATATAAGATATACAAACTGATAGAGTATATCTAGAGAGAAGTGAGAGCTAGAGAGAGAAGTGCAATAATATGCTTCAATAGAATGATTTTGTAACCCCTATAACTACTCCCAAGGGGAGTATTTATAGAGAAAATTAGGGTTGGGCTCCCAAGCCTTGGGCTTGGGAGGCCCATTTACAACTGGACCGCTACTGGGCCGAATACAAAGCCTCTAATGGGCTGTACAAATGAGTAAGTATAGAATCCGATTCTGGGAGGTCTTCGTGGCCGACGAGGGCGTGGCCGACGAGGGCACGGCCGACGAGGGAGCGGCCGACGAGGGCACCCGAGTTCCTTGGGCTCAGGACCGTAATCTGAGTTGGCCCCTTTTCGGCCGACGGGGGCGTCTTGGCCGACGAGGGCGCCACTCTGTTGTCTTGTGCTTTCTGTTCTTCCGAGTATGTGGGTCCTGGGGCTCAGACCCATATACTCCATCAGGAGTCCCCCACTCTCTAAGCTGAGACGTAGACGAAGCGAAGGAGAGTAGATTCCTGTGCTTTGTTTCCTCTTTGGTGATCCTGTTCTGTGCTTTGGCCGTTACCTGTTCCTCACTGTGGGCGGGGAGGCCGTTGTTTCCCTAATGTATTTGAGGATGATGACTGTCTTGTTTCAATGTCGGCCGTTGAAGGCGCGCTTTCCCTTTCTAGACGTTGGTGGTTGAAGTTTATGTTTGGGCTGGTGAGGCCGTTGAGGTTGTTCCTTGCTTTGAGGATGATGGCGTCCTTTCCTTTGGGTGGCCGATGAGGGCGCTCGCGCACTCCTTTTGGCCGTCGCTGGTTGGCCTTCTTGTTCTTGGCCGAAGGGCCCGTCAAGATTGATTATTGGCAGAGGACGATGAGTGTCCTTGCCTCTAGTGGCTTGTTGGCCGTTGCTAATGACGTTATGGGCCTTTGGCCGATGAAGTTCCGTTGTGCTGAATGGATGATGTGGCCATGCTTTGTGGTCACGTTCATGTTCTTTGTAGTGTTTCCTTTGTGCTTTGCTGAGGCCGGTGTAGTCCCCCAGTCCCCCACTGCTTCAGGCCGAGGAGTGCGAGGGGTGAAGGAGTTGCTTGAGTCCCTGGCTGAAGCGGCATCTCCGTAGTCCCCCTGAATCCAACTCTCATGGCGATTTTCTGGCCAAGGTAACCCTGTGGGAGAACCCTTGTGCGCAGATCGCTTGTAGAGAGTTATCATCAAGGGTTATTACGAGGAGCCGAAGGCTGTGGGCTCTTTGTTCCCTTTGTTCTGTGGCCGTTACGTTCCTGGCCGTTGCCATCTTCTTATTGTTTGGCATTTGTGGTTTTGGCGGGCAAGTGGGACGTTGTGGGCGCTTGTTGGCCTTTGTAAAGCCGGTGAGCGTGTGTAGGCCGTAGAGTCCGTCTTGCCAGTGGGCTGTTGATAGAGTTTGGCCCGTTGGTGACGTGGTGGTCCCCCATTGGTGGTCGTTGGTGTGGCCATTGGGGGGTACCACGTGTAGTGACCGTTGGGTGAGGGGTTCTATAAATACCCCTCCCCCTCCGACGAGGAAACGTATTTGCATTCTGAATTTGTCGAAGTGCTGGCCGATTTTCTAGAGAGATAAACTCCCAGCCTGTTCTTCGTGTTCTTCGTTGTTCAAGGTTAGTGTTCATCGTGATCTTCCTCACTTTTCATACTTTGCTTCCTAGGTTGTTGATCTAGTGTTAGGCGTTTGAACACCATTTAGATCTTAAGTTAGTCTCCTTAGGCTCGTAGTAGTAGTTATGAAGAGCTTGAATGACGACTACTACCCCTATGACGACCAGCCCTCCACGAGGTCGCTTGACTACGAGGTGCTCGAGGAGTTTGAGGAGGAGATAGAGCGCTTAAGTCCATACAAATCCGGAGAGCCAGTGGACGAGGAAGGCGAGGACGAGGAGTCCGCCTCCTCTTCAAAGGGTGAGGACGTAGGTGCGTCCCGAGTGGTGGACGGGGCGTCCACTTCTGCTGTCATTCCGTGCCCGAGGCCGGTGTCTTCCGTTAAGGGAGCCGCCAAGCCGAAGAGAGTGAGGAGGCCGAAGAGTGGGCCCGGCATCTCCTATCTAGATCTCACCAACATCTACCTGATCAAGCCGGAGAGCAGTGCGGCCGACTATCTTGTTGCCCAGATGTACGTGGGGCCGTTCGGGCGGGTTAGGGCACCCAAGCCGACGGACCATGTTCTTCTGCCACCACCGGGATACTTTGGAGTATACCCGATGAGCTTCGCTAAGGGGTTGAGATTCCCCCTTCACCCTTTCATTACTGAGTACCTGGACATGGTCGGGCTTCCTCCGGCCTTGCTGACGCCGAACAGCTACTCCTTGATGGTAGGGTTCTTGCTCCGGTGTGAGGAGTTGGGCTACAAGCCGACAACGGCACTATTCATGAATCTGTACCAGATCGGCAGAGGAAGCCACAAGAACTGTGCGGCCTACGCTACTCTTCAGCAGCTGCCGAAGAAGAGGAGCTTCACGGATTTGCCTACGTCCATTCATGGGTGGAAGAGCAAGTTCGTGTTTGTGTCCATTGGTGAGAGTGGCACCGAGTTTCCCTCCCTCGGCCACACCGGGAGGTTTAACCTGCACGACCCGCCGAAGAGCTCTATTTTGGACGCTCAGGTGGAGGCTTTCTTGGAAGGGGGGCCGAGGAGCGTGAAGGACTACATCACGGAATATAAGATGGCCGCCCTCGGCTTCGTGAGGTACTATGTCTATGGTGACAAGGAGGATGACCTCCAACTCTGGCCGAGGATGACCACCACCTTTGAGGAGGCCGACGGCCCGGACTTGGGCATTCCTGCTGAGGCCGATGGTAATTCTTTCTTCGGCTTTCTGTCTTTATGTTTTCTCCTTTGCCTTACTAATCTGTTTGTTTTTCCTTTGTAGATTTTGTCATGGACCGTCGTTCCATGATGGCTATTGCCAAGGCCAAAGCGGCTGAGGAGATTGCTGCTAAGGCGGCCGAGGCGGCCAGACGTGCCGCGGCCGGTGGGAGCGGGGCTACTGCTGATGCGGCCCCAAAGCCTGCTCCATCGAAGAAGAAAAGGCCGGCCACTGACGGCCAGAAAAAGTTGACTGAGGCCGGCGTGAGCGTCTCTAAGAAGACGAAGAGGGCTCCTTCCCCTTCTCCGGCTAGTGAGGCCGGTACTCTTACTGTCCCCAGCGTGGGCGATGGTGGTCCCGTCGTGGACCTTACTGTTGCTGACGATGCTGCCCCATCGCTTCCTCTCGTCCAGGAACCACGGACGCAGAGGGCCGGCAAGGAGATTGCCGGTGCCACCTACCAGAAGGTGGTAGAATACCCCGTCGGCGGGGGCGTGTTTAATGATCTCGTCCCTGGCCACGTCGTCCTGGCCAAGGCCATGCCGGCCAAAGATCGGGCTCACTTGAAGAAGCTCGAGGACCCGAAGATTTACGAGGGTGGCATGGACCTCCTCGTCCAAGTAAGTTACTGTCCTTATATTTTTGTTTCTCTCTTTGTCTGTGTAGAGTCTTTTGCCTGACATTTGTTTTCCTTCTGCAGAGTGCCTTTATGCTTATGGAAAGCCATAAGAGGCAGTATTGGGAGATAGCTCGCTTGAAAGAGCTGGAGCAGAAGGCTGCCTCGGCAGACGAGGCGGTAGCTTGCCTTGATCGGCTCCGGGAGGATGCCAAGGCATTGCAGGCAAGGGCTGATGAAGCCGCCGCAGCCAGGGACGATGCCCTGGCCAAGCTCGAGGAGAGCAAAAGGGAGCTCGAGGAGTCCCACAGGGCGCTTGAGGCCGAGAGGCGCAGGAGCGAGGAGGCCGCCAAGGCGAAGGCTGAGGCCGAGGCCGCCGTCGTGAAGGCTGCCGATGAGGCCATCGAGAAGTTCCTGGACGAGGGGTGGAAGGCCGATGAGAGGCTCCCCTGGTGCTACGAGGTGGTGGCCGCCAGGCTTGAGAGTTGGGGGATGAACTCCCCCGCCGGCCAGGAGTATTTCACCCGGGAGATGTCTGTGTACTATAACCTGGGCCAGGAGCGGATGCAAAGGCTCCTGTGTCGGCGGCTGTCCCGGGCGTTGAAGGCCATGAATTACACGTCTGGGTGGGCTAGACGGAACCTGAAGCTGCCGAAGCTGATGAAGGTTCCAGAAGAGCAGGCCAAGCTTCCGCTGTCGGAGCGAGAGTCCCCCATAGAAAGCTCCGGCCTCGGCGAGCCGGATTACACCGAATTCGACTTCCTGGACGATGCCACCAGCGCCGCAGCCGCTGCCGGCCAAGAAGCTGAGGCCGATGAGGGAGCTGATGAGGTAGAAGAGTCAGTCGCGGATGAAGGTGCCCCGGAGGCTTGATCGGCTATTCCCTGTTGTAATTAGCTTTTCAATTTTTTGCCAAATGATGTAACGGCCGAAGTGCCCTCAATTGTAATGAACTCACTGTCAATTGAAGAAATTTTTGCTATCCTTTTCGGCTTTGAATCCCTTGTATGCTTGTTTGCTTTTTGTCATTTCGCTTTTGTAAATTGTCTAAGTGTCAAGTCATAATTTGGGTCACCCGCGAGTGTCCGCTACGTCCGTGAGGTTGGCCTTCCCGTCCGGTAGTCTGGTCGGCCTATTCATCTTTGCTTTACTATCATAATACTTGGGATTGTTTTTTCAAAAATTCCCCAAGTGTTTTTGGGTCCATGTAGCTGCTGTCTTTACGGCGTAGTGGCTTGATCGGCCTGGACGTAGTTTCATAACACTTAGGAATTTTTCCAAAAATTTTCTAAGTGTCTTGGGATCCACTTAGGTGCTTTCCTTCCGGCCTGGTGGCCTTGTCGTCCTGCATCCCTGTGTTGTGGCCGATAAGGGCACCTTCACCATAGTCTTGTGGACTTTGAATTTTTCCTAAGTACACATGCAGAGGTGTAGGTAGCTAACGGCTTTGTAGTATACTGGTACCCACTTCGGCTAGAGTTCCTTCATTTGAGTACTTAGATAATTTCCTAAGTATAAATGTTAGGCATTTACTTCTTTGCGGTGCCGCTGCCGGCCAAGGTGTGGCTTGTGGCCGATGAGGGTGCTGGATAAGGAATGGCTTGTCCAAGGAGATGGTCCTGTTTTCGCTCGACCAACGGCCTTGGTTCCAGTGTCCGTGTCGGCCATCCGAGGAGCTGTGGCAAGTAGAGGTTGTTTCTTGATTGCTTGATCCTTTCGCGGGTGTGATAAGTGCCCGCTTCGTCTTGGTCATCCTCAGGATTGCGATGCCTTGTTTCATACCAGGCGTTGGTGCCTCAAAGGACTATGGCCGATGAAGGTCACCTCTCGCGTGTCACCCAACCGATGCGGTTAGGGTTTTGTAGGCGTGTGTTTCAGCCTTGATTATTCCCTTGTAGTGTGTGGACGTGTCGTCCATGTTACCTGTCAGTGGTACTACACTTGTGTTCTACTGATATGTACTTGGCCTAGTTGGGCCTGAGTTGTGGGGATTTTGTTTTTTCATTGCTCGAGGCCGGCAAGTGTGCGCGGCCGTCGGCTTCCCTCTTTTTCCCTTGTATTTGTTTTTTCGTTTCGGGGGGTATCCTTCTTTCAGGCTTCGGCCGAAGGGTGTGCTCGTCCTTCGGCCGGTTCGGACTTCGTTTATAACGTCCGTGGTCTCAGGGCGGGTCCCGTCGCCTATTTATGACGCGGGCTAGACTTTTGGTCGGTTTCCAACGGCTGTCGTTGCCCATCCCTGAGTTTTGGGATTTTGTCACCTCAGCCATGATTTCAGGCCTGTCGTCCTGCATTCTGGCGCGTGGACGACGCGGTGAGCTTCCCGTTTCAAGACGTGGGCCGTTTGCGGGCCCCTCGTCCTGGGGACATCGTCGGCCATACCTGAGTGTTTCACTTCTAGGCTTACGGGGCCAGGGCGATGTGCTCTCTCAGCTAGGCCTGAGCCCTTCGCTGATACAAAATACAATGGAGTGCCTGAGCTTGTCGCTTGTAGGCTGCGAATGTAAGGGGCCATGTCGGCCAGACCTGAGCCTTTCGCTCTAAGGTGGCCGACGAGGGCACCTGCTAAATGTTTTACTTTGAATTTCCAGAGAAAAAATCGGAACATGATTTTATTCATAAGTGGCTCGAGGCCGAGGGTGGCGTTCAATCAGTAACCCGTTAAGGGGTGAGGGCTTCGCCGTCTACACCTCCTTCGGATTACTGATAAAACTTCACCAGATGGTGTACATTCCATGTTCGTGGTACATTGGACCCATTCGGGCGTTTAAGCTTGTAGGTGCCGGGTTTGACCACGGCACTGACGATGTAGGGCCCTTCGTACTTCAAGGCTAGCTTGCCACCCTCTGTCGGCTGGCTTGCTTCCCTTCGGCGGAGGACGTAGTTCCCCACCTGAAATTCCCGGGAACGTACCTTGGCGTCATAGTACGATTTTACTTGACGCCGGTAGTTCTCTGCTCGGACGTAAGCTTGCTCACGCCTCTCATCGACCAGGTGCAGGTCAATCTTCATGCTTTCCTCATTGGCGTCAGGCTCGTATTGTTCCACCCGTCGGCTGGGGATGGCCACTTCCGTGGGCGCCTTTGCCTCGAAGCCGTAGCATAGGGCGAAAGGCGTTTCACCTGTCGCCCTCCTCGGCGTGGTTCTGTAGCACCACAGGATGTTGGGGAGCTCATCGACCCAACTACCTCCTGCGGCCTGGAGTTTCTTCTTCAGCCCCTCCATGATTGTTCTGTTGGCGTTCTCGACCTGCCCATTGCCCTGAGGGTAGGCAACGGAGGAGAAACGATGCTTTACCTCAAACTCCCGGAGGAGCTCTTAGAAAGGGGCTGCCTCGAATTGGGTGCCGTTGTCTGATATAATCTCCTGGGGGACGCCAAAGCGTGTGATGATGTTCTTGTAAACGAATTTTTGGCATATGGCCCCCGTGATGCTGGCCAAAGGCTCCGCCTCGACCCACTTGGTGAAGTAGTCGACGGCGACGATGATGTAGCGGTTATTCCCGGCGGCTCTGGGCAGGGGGCCGACCAGGTCAATCCCCCATCTGGAGAATGGAATCGCGGTGCTGACAGGGGCATAGTTGACAGCTGGCCGACCAGGGAGGGGCCTTCTGGAGTACCTGGCATGTGGTGCACTTTCTGGCCAGGTCAGCGCAGTCCCGTGCCATCGTCGGCCAGAAGAAGCCCTGGACGACGAGACGCCGGGACATGCTGAAAGGGCCCTGGTGTGAGGAGCAGACGCCACAATGAACTTCTTCCATGGCGGTGTCGGCCTCGTCCTGGTGCAGGCATCGGAGGAGGGTGCCATTATAGGACCGTTTGTAGAGTTTGCCATCTTCTATGGTGTAGCTTGGGGCCCTGAGTTTGGCAAGTTTGGCCCTCTCCTCGTCTTGGGGCAGCTCCCCCGTTGCGATGAACAGGGTCCACGTGTCGTCCTGCTCCGGCCCAGGGTTGGCGACGGCCGTCTCCCTTGCTGTGCATTCGATGACGAAGTCGGCCAAGGCTTGCCCTTTGATGGATGGCCTTGGCTTGATCTCAATTTGAAATTGGCTGAGAAAGATTGCCCATTTCACCATCCTGGAGGAGCTGGTGGGGCTCCTCATGAGTGCGCCGAGAGGCTGCTGGGTCAGTACGTGGACGGCGTGGGCCTGGAAGTAGTGCCCCAGCTTCTTCACCGTGTGGACGATGGCCAGCACTGTCTTCTCGATGGGGGAGTACCTGAGCTCGGCCTCCCTGAGTGTCTTGCTGATGTAGAAGATGGCCTTCTGCACCCCTTCGTCCTCACGGATGAGCACGGAGCTGATGGCCGACGTGCTCACCCCTAAGTACAAGAAGAGGGTTTCGCCGGCTCTGGGCTTGGAGAGCACGGGTGGGGACGACAGGTACCTTTTCAATTCGTCGAATGCCTCCTGGCACTCCGTCGTCCACTTGAAGCTGTTGGCTTTACGCATGATCTGGAAGAAGGGGAGTGCCCTCTCGGCTGACCTGGAGAGGAACCGGTTTAAGGCCGCCAGGCGCCCCGTCAGTCGCTGTACCTCCTTGACGTTACGGGGCGGCTCCATGTTGATGATAGCCTGCGTCTTCTCCGGGTTTATCTCGATGCCTCTCCAGCTGACCATGTAGCCAAGGAACTTGCCGCCCTGGACGCCGAAGGCGCACTTCTTGGGGTTAAGGCGGAGCCTGAACTCCTTCATGATTTCAAAGATCTCCCGAAGGTCGTCGGCGTGGGAGATGGCCTGTCTGCTCTTGACGATCATGTCGTCGACGTACGCCTCCATCGTCCGGCCAAGGACCGCTCTGAAGATTTTGGCCACCATTCTAGTATAGGTGGCGCCGGAGTTTTTGAGTCCGAAGGCCATGACGAGGTAGCAAAAGATTCCCTCCGGGGTCATGAATGTCGTCTTCTCGGCGTCATCTTCATGCATGGAGATTTGGTGGTACCCTCTGAAAGCGTCGAGGAACGACATCAACTCGCACCCCGCCGTCTCGTCCACCAGCTGATCAATGTTGGGGAGAGGGAACGGGTCCATGGGGCACGCCTTGTTCAGGTCAGTGTAGTCAACACACATTCTGAACGTCGGCGGTTTTTGTGCGAGGACGACGTTGGCCAACCATGTCGGGTACTTCACCTCTTTGATGTGTCTGATTGAGAGGAGCATGGCGACCTCCCCTTTGACGAAGTCCCGCCTGTCAGCGGACAAGTAGCGCCGCTTCTGTTTGACAGGCGCGGAGGCCGGATCGACGGTCATCCGGTGAGTGATCACCTGGCGGCTGATGCCTGGCATATCGTCCGGGCCCCACGCGAAGACAACGACGTATGACCGTAGGACGAGGAGGATGGCGTCTCGTTGGTCCTGGGGGAGTTGCTTTCCGACCCTGAGAACCCGCTCCGGCCGGGAGGTATCCAGAGGGATTTCCTCGACCTCCTCGGCCGGCTCCGCATGCGGCCTCTCCTCGTCCATGGCGACGGCGGCCGTAATGGTGTCTATCCTCTGTCCTTCCCTTTCGGCCGGCCTTGTTAGCTTGAGGTAGCAAGCTCTGGCTATCCTCTGATTTCTTCTGGCGTAGCCGATGCCGTCATTGGTGGGGAACTTCAAACATAAGTGCTTCATGGAGATGATGGCCTCCAAGTCCTCCAGCGCTGGCCGGCCCAAGATCAGGTTGTGGGCGCACTGGAGGTTGACCACCATGAACTCCATGTCAATCTTGGCGTGGTGGGGGCCGTCACCGACCTCCACGGGGAGGACTATCGTGCCCTCGACGTCGATAGAGTCCCCGGTGAAGCCGGATAACGGGGTCTTGATCGGCTTCAGCAAAGCACTGTCCAGCTTCAGCTGCTTGAAGGTGTCCAGGTACATCACGTTGACGGAGCTCCCCGTATCGATGTAAGTACGGTGGATGATGGAGTCACCGATCTCACATCGGATGACGAAGGCGTCCCTGTGTGACTCCGTACCTGGAGGCAGATCCTTGTCAGTGAAGGTGATCGCCTCCGTTCGCTGCTTCTTCGGCTGGGGGGGAACGTGGGACACCTCCCCAATGTAAAGGGATTGGGCCCATTTTTTTCTCTGAGTGGCGGAGTCCCCCCCAGTGTTCCCACCTACGATGAGGTGGATGTGATTCTTCTTCGGCGGAGGCTCTTCGAAGTCCTCGTCGTCGCGGAGTCTACCAATCTCCCGCTTCTTCGCAGAGGGTTCGCCCCCATGTTTGTCGGTGTTTACCCAAGTGTTCTTGCGTGGGCCACCTTTGACAAACTGGGAGAGTTCCCCCTGGCGAATAAGGCGCTCGATGGCCTTCTTCAATGTGATGCAATCGTCGGTGTTGTGCGACGAGTTCTTGTGGAACCGGCAGTACGTGCCGCCCTGCTGGATGGCAAGGATCTCCTCGGCCGGCCGAGGAGCCTGCTCGATGAGGCCGTGCTTCTCGGCGTAATCGAGGATGGTGCCGACCGAGTGGGTGAGGGTTACCCCCGGCCGTTCCAGCCTCGGCCGCCAGTGGCGGTCTTTCTTACTCTGTCCACCAGAGCCGTGGCGGCCCTGGGCACCCTGGCCGGCCGGGGACGGACCCGGGGCCGGCGAAGGATTTGTCTTCTTGGGGGGATGGCCCCCCTCTCTCTTGTGATTGTGGAGCTCGTCGGCGTCGGCATACAAGCCTCCGCGTTGGAGCGCCTTGGCGTACGACCTCGGGGGGTCAGTGATGAGGCTCCTGGCGTACGGGGAGCTGCGGAGGGCTCCCTGGTACAAGGCGAGGAGGGTGCGCTCATCGGCCCCCTCGACCTCCTCGGTCTCCCTCGTCCATCGATCGATGAACGACCGGAGGGACTCCTCGTGCTACTGCTTGACGGAGAGGAGGTGGGTGAAATACTTCTTGGCGCGCTTCCTCCCGGCAAAGTGAGTGAGGAAGCGCTGGGCGAGATCCTGCCATGAGTCAATGCTTCCTTCTGGCAGTCCGTTGAACCACTCGTACGCTGGCCCCTCGAGAGTAGAGAGGAACCACCGGCAGAGGTATTCGTCGGACGCGTTCACCATCAGCATGTTGTTTTGGTAACGGCTGAAGTGCTCCTGGGGGTCTGATCGGCCATCGTAGGACTTGATGGCGTTCCCCCTGTACTTCTCAGGGATGGGGGCCGAGAGGACCCTGTTGGTGAAAGGGGTCCTCGTCCTGACCTGGATGATGGGGTCACCCCGCCCTTCGGCGAGCTCCCTCTCCAGGGCGCTAACTTTGTTCATGAGCGCGTTAAGGCCGGGGTCGTTGGAGGCGCCGACCGTAGGGATGTTGGCCGACTGCTTGGCCTCCATCTGAGCCAGCCTCCTTTCCAGCTGAGCGATGACCTCGTCCCGGGGGTCCCTGTCGGCCGCGTCGGCGCCCGGTTGGTTCCTCATGCGGTCGTTGTGAGCCGCGTTGATCTGGTGACGCGCGTCATCCTCGTGCAACTTCCCCTTGCCCTTGTCCGGGCGGGGCTGGTCCGCTGTCCGGAACACAGACCCCAAACTTTCCCTTGGCGAGCCAGGACGAGGATCACCAATCCGTCCCGCCATCCTCTCCGAAACCGGACGACGGCGCGTGTCACCTAGCCTATTGAAGGCAGAGGCTTTTCCACGCGCTGGGGTCTGCCCGGGCCGAAGAGGGTAAGCAGGGTGGGAGTGGGACGACGTCGTTTCCTGGGCCACGACCCCCTCATCGTTGCCTATCTGGACGGCCAACGGTTGGTGCTGAGGAGGTTGAGTGACGTTCCCCCCGGTCCTTGGCAAGAGTGCGCTGAGGACGGTGGGGTTCTGAGCTAGGCTGGCGATGATGACCGACAGTGCGGCCTGGACCTGTGGATCCACGGACGGAGAGGCCGCGGCCATAGGCTGGGCCGGGGCGTGATCCGTCTTTTCAGCTCGCTTCTTGTCCAAGCCGAGGCGGGCATCAGGGGCGCCGCCGTTGAGTTGGTTGTGGAGGTCCGTTGTGAGGTTGAAGGCCTCCTGGAAGAGGTCCCCTCCGCCGGCCTGGTCGGCCGTGGCGTCCTCATCGTGCTCCCTGGGCTCTTGGTCCTCAGGGATGGCTTTGCTGACGAGGTTGCGGTTTGACTTAGTTCTCCCCATGATCAGTGGTTAGCTGTGCTTGGTAGCGACGAAGGGTGCTAACTTGATTGTTCTAGCTCTCAACGAGAGCACCAAATGATAGAGTATATCTAGAGAGAAGTGAGAGCTAGAGAGAGAAGTGCAATAATATGCTTCAATAGAATGATTTTGTAACCCCTATAACTACTCCCAAGGGGAGTATTTATAGAGAAAATTAGGGTTGGGCTCCCAAGCCATGGGCTTGGGAGGCCCATTTACAACTGGACCGCTACTGGGCCGAATACAAAGCCTCTAATGGGCTGTACAAATGAGTAAGTATAGAATCCGATTCTGGGAGGTCTTCGTGGCCGACGAGGGCGTGGCCGACGAGGGCACGGCCGACGAGGGCGCGGCCGACGAGGGCACCCGAGTTCCTTGGGCTCAGGACCGTAATCTGAGTTGGCCCCTTTTCGGCCGACGGGGGCGTCTTGGTCGACAAGGGCGCCACTCTGTTGTCTTGTGCTTTCTGTTCTTCCGAGTATGTGGGTCCTGGGGCTCAGACCCATATACTCCATCACAAACCTCCTCATCATGAAAAACTATCTCCAACGACTCCGGAAAACAGTCATGCGCAGGCTCCCGGTAAACACGAATAGCCCTGGCTTTGAATGCCCGTGTGGTCTTGCTCTGGTCTATTTCTCGGAACATGGACCACATGCCAGCCATCTTGAAATTTTTTGCCTAAGTTATTGTTTGCTTTGGAAGAGCTAGATGTGGGGATCTTGGATATCAATGGTCCTCTATTTATAGGCCTAGAACTTAAGAAAGAAACCAACCCACCCACACTTACCACGTACAAATAAATTTTGGAAATTATAG